TTTCTAAGATAACATTTCCTATCATTCGTAATCTGGCATGGCCAATGGGGCTCTGAAGTTCTAGAAATTTAAAAGGCCCAGGATCACCATCAATCTAAATTTGAGGAAAATGAATTTTCCTTTAAATAGCACAAGGAAAATGCACTTTTACTTCTTCTGGAAGTATAATAAAACTTTATGTCATTACATCTATCTTTCGAATTTATGGATTAATCCAAAGGCAGTAAAGCCACAAGACTGGTGATACTTGCTGAGGAAATTGATAAAATGTTCATGGACAACTCAAAGGAGAATAATAGATTCACATGATAAGGAAGCAGGTAGGGAATCTCTAATGGCCACAAAACACAATGAGCTCCTGAGGGTTATGGCATCTGTAGAATTTGGAATTGGAGTTGGAACACTGGGGGGGCTGGCCTCTAGAGAATTCAATTTACTGTCTAACGCTTGGTCAATTTGCTTAATCACTTTTTAAAATGTCTGCGGGGACACACAATGTCAGCCCATTAACAGCTTTTAAATGGCTTAAGTCTCCTCTTAAATGAGAAAAGCAGAACAAACAAGAGATAGTTGCAAGATCTGTCTATGTCATAATTCTTTTATTTTTATTTTTTTAAAATTTGATTTATATGCTGCCCTTCTCCGGAGACTCAGGGCGGCTTACAATGCGTTAAGCAATAGCCTTCATACTTTTGTATATTTATACAAAGTCAGCTTATTGCCCCCACAAACTGGGTCCTCATTTAACCTACCTTAGAAAGGATGGAAGGCTGAGTCAACCTTGAGCCTGGTAAGATTCGAACCTGCAGAAATTGCAGGCAGCTGTGTTAATAACAGGGTGCATTAAACCACTGTACTACCACGTGTTTATTTTGCCAGTCAAAATTTAGAGTGATGTATTAAGTCACTGCTAAACTGTGCTCCCAATTATTCTCTCCCAAAGAAAAAGGAAAAATAATACAATGATTAATTTCTCTTTGAACTATTAATATGATATTTTCTAGATGTTTACTGAGGATATCTTAAGCTTTATTTTGTCATTTTTATTAACAAAAAATACTATAACCTGTAAGACCAATAAACTATTATTTCTCTATTTTTAACATTTCCTTATGTAAATCAAAACAAATAAACCAAATGGTATTCAGAAATCTTATATAACCAAAATGTATGCAAATATAAAGAAAAAATCTGAAATCTTACATGCACCTAAAGGGGAAAAAACTGAACAACTTTTTACTTTTATTTATTTATTTATTTATTTTATTTGATTTATATGCCGCCCTTCTCCGGAGACTCAGGGCGGCTTACAATGCGTTAAGCAATAGCCTTCATCCTTTTTGTATATTTATACAAAGTCAGCTTATTGCCCCCACAATCTGGGTCCTCATTTTACCTACCTTAGAAAGGATGGAAGGCTGAGTCAACCTTGAGCCTGGTGAGATTCGAACCTGCAGTAATTGCAGGCAGCTGGTCTTAATAACAGGGTGCTTTAGTCCACTGTACTACCAAGGCTCTTTTATGTAAAGGAAATTTCTTTGAAGTTGTTAATCAATTCAGTTAACCAGTTAAAAGCTCCTAAGGAAACTCTATATAACAAACTTGTGCTTCAGGCAGCAATTTAAAACATCTGGATATTATATTCATTTTTAAATTAAAAATATTGAGACCAAGAGTATGTTTTTTAATTTATCAGTTGTTCACTTTAACCCATATGTAAAGTCTTTAACCAGAGTTGAGATGGGCTAAAAACTCATATAATTGTATTTTCCCTTTCCACCATGAATTTTTCCTTCTATTCTGAGAGAAATTAGTGGCATAGGATTAAATCTACAGTACTATAGCTTTATTAGAAGCTAGTTTTAATCAGACATTATAAATCTGCTTAAAGAGTGGAGTTCATATTTTGATTAAAAATTGATGTTAGCAGCATTAATTCAGATAAAACAATAGTGTTTCTCAATCTCAACATTAACATGTGCTGAAGTTGAGAAGCACTGGAATTATACCCTATGGCTACCACTATTAAAAACAAAGAGGAAAGCCTATGCTGCACAGCTTCATACAATCCTAGACTGGAAGGTAAGTAAAAGGGCACCAAGTCCAATTCTCTGAACATTTCAGGATTCACTGTATCCTTTTTTTACTTCCTCTTTTACCACTTTCAAAGGATTCATTACACTATCCCTGATCAATTACTGCCCTTTTTTGAAAATCTCCAGGAAAGGGAAAGAAACCCCTCCATTTGGTAGCTCATTCCATGATTAGCAGCTCTTGCCACCAAAAATCTTCCTAATGTATAATCTATATCTATATCCTTGAAATTTCATCCTATTACTCATTCACTGGATATTTGAAGAGAGATCATGTCCCTACTCAACTTTACTTTTGCAACTTAAACATACCTAGTTCTTTTAACCATTCAGCATAGGACTTATTGTGCTTAAGAAGCATATTTTATACTAGAACTGTAGTATAATAGCTTACCTTAGCTAGAGTCAACATATCTGAATCTTTATTAACAGCAACTTTATGATAATATAGCCATTAATTCGGAGAAAATTAGAATGGTATAGGAATGCCTGCAAAGTACAGCATGCTCATATTGTTTATTGGTCCCCAAGGACACATGGAAGCTCTTTTGAAAGAGCCTGGTAGAAAGTTTGAGGTCACTATCTTGCCTATAGTGTCCAGATAAACCTTGGTATGCTTAACAGAAATCAAGGTTTTGGAGGATACACTTGACCTTCCATACCATGACAAGTCAAACTATGATTAAAAGAGTAAAACAAAGGACAATGTACATAACTACCCCAAGTTCTTTGAATGTCTTGTAAACATATTGTGTCCATATGTAGTGCTAAGTCATAATGGGATTTGTTTGCTTTGGCTTTAGCACAGGGCTACAAAACTCTGAACCAAGAAGTGGCAACAAAAAAACATTTTACTGTCATCTAGCAATTGCCTGGATTTTTGTGGCCCAAATCTAGTAGCTTACTTTAAACCCAGCAAAGTTGGTGAAGTTTTATAGTTTTCCCACAATGAGAGAATCCAGCTGCTATGGCTTAGTAAATGATTAGTAAATCATGGTGGTAATATCTTAGAATGATATGGGAATGCTTCAAAATTTATAACAACTATGATTATTAATAAACATTTATATTTAACATTTTGTTTGGATACTAATGTCATTACTGATCTTACTGCTACCAAAATAGAATACAGTGTTTCCTGTCTTAATTAATTGCCAGGTAATAAAAATGTCAGATAATACTATATTGATATTTATTATGATTACATCGATAAACCAGATAGACATTCCCAGATTCTTAGGACTCTACTTATTTACTAAGCATTCAAGCTTTATGTAAGTTCTGCTGAGCAACTTTCACAGTATACCTAACACAAAAAGATACTTCTGGAAACCTGGAAACAAAGTATTAGTACAACTAACTAATATACCCCAGCAGCTACTAGTCAAGGACATTCTGGCTCTGATACTAGAAATAAAATAAAACTATCATGAATGGTAACTGCTAATACATTTTTTTTCCATGACTGCTAATTTCATCAAGCTATCTACAACTTAGGATCAATATCCTAGCCAATCACTTGCCGTGAGCCACTCTTAAGAACAGATTTTCTCAATCCTGGCTTCCAAGTATTATTACATTATATTACAGTTCCATCAACCACAGCCAGCAGAGTCAATAGACTGGACTTCATATACTGCAGAAAATTCAGAGGTTTGTTGTAAGTAGTATACAAGTTTTATAAGGCTTGCAAACATTTAGGAAGTGAAAATAAACTCAACAAAAGTCTTATGTTAAAGGACAGTGTGAATAAGCCACGGTATTGAGCATGCTGTCCTTGACAGTAAATTGAGCAGGCAGAACTTCAGAGCTAGAATCCTCTCTGCCACTACCTAATGGATATCTAGATTTTTTGCAAGCCTGATAGTCCTAATTAAGATTCCAAGGAAAACAAGAATTATTTATTTGGTGGATTTACATGAGAGCCTATCTCATGTACATGACTCTGGACTGTTTATAATACTAAAAATATCTACAAAAATATAAAACTCATAGCAGTCAGGAAAAAAAATTTGCAAAGCCACAAGCCAACATTCAACATAATCAAAAAACAGGCTCCTCCCCACTCTTGGGAATCCCAGACTCAAGCACAGAGCCTCTCCTCAGAGCCTTATGGAAGGCCAACAGGGACAGGAGCAATCTGATCTCTAGAGGGATTGTATTCCATAGGGCAGATGCCAGGACATAATAGACTTTCTTCCAAGTTTCTATGAAAAACATTGGAAAATATAGAGTAACATATGTCTGATAACTGATAAAGTTAAGTTCCCTTTTATTTTATCTACACTGTATTAGTACAGATCTAACCTATCCCACTACCTTTCCTGTATACATGCTCCTAAGTGGCAATTAAAAATATTGTGCTATAGTTCTTTTTTTCACCAATAGCCTTCTTTTAAATCCAACTCTGCCATCTAGTCATCCTCCTTTTTCATATCCAGAATTCTATTCAGAATTTTTTTATTCATTAAATATATTTTATTCCACTTTGCATCATAGAAAAACCTGGAGCATCTTTTCCAAAATAAACAATTCACTGAAAATGCAAATAAACTGTTCTGAACTGTGGAATAGGTGGGCCAAAATGAGACAAAATCCTATGAAAACATTTATCTTCAATATATCCAATGTGGTGAAACATTTTCAATGTTATAAATTATTACGCTGTAAATCTGGCAGAGAAGTGTAGAAGAGATTGCCTAATTTCAGACTCCTTATCTGAAAGGGTTCTATTTCTAACACTTCCAGCTTTAAAAGACTGACTGCTTATTATAGTCAGATACCAAATGTAAAGCAACACCCTTCAGTGGGGCTAAAGGGCATTTAAAACCATTCCATCTAATTTAAATTCCCCTTCATAGAAGAAGACAAAAATTAATTATACATATTGCAAAACAAAGTACTTACTGTTCGAGCACCACTTGGAGACAAGGCTCCACTAGGAAGGTAAGGGCTTCCCAGCTCTGGGATCATCAAGAAAGGATAACTTGGATAAGGAGTCCCTTTAAAAAAACCTCCATCTTGCTGTCTTCTAATTACTATGGAAGAAGGAAGATATTAGCTATAAACATTCAGAGAGTAAAACCCCCTGACAAATGGCAAAACAACCAACTTAAGTTTGTATGAATTACAAAAGTTAAAATTCTAACTCTAACAATTATACAAGATCACACTCAAGAAAAACTCACAAAGCAGAGAAAAATTAGCATTGAAGCAAAAAGTACTAAGCAAGATGAAACTGTATTTATTCCATTTTATTATCTAGTACTCATGTCTTGAAACGAATTTGAAACAACAGAAATTACTGTACTTTTAATTAAAGCAAGCAACTAATCAAAAAGTCAGCCTTCCATCCTTTCTAAGGTAGGTAAATTGAGGACCCAGTTTGTGGGGGCAATAAGCTGACTTTGTATAAATATACAAAAGTATGAAGGCTATTGCTTAACGCACTGTAAGCCGCCCTGAGTCTCTGGAGAAGGGCGGCATATAAATCAAAAAAATTTTTTTTTAAAAAAAGTTGATCTTTATCTCATAGTTATATTTATCCACAAGAAAATATAACATCACAAGTTTCATTCAAATGCTTTAAGTCAAAACCTATTGTCCTTTTTTCCCCATACAAAACATCAAATTATAATTTGCTTAACTATAATTTACTCAATAAATCACATGAAAAGATTCACAAAAGTAAACAATTTAAAAAATGGCTCAGCACTTGGACCCTCCAGCAATTTAATGCTTAATGTCCAGGATGGCTTGGTCAATCTTCAGTTATGCAAATAACACTTAGAAAACAACTTCACTCTTTTAGTTAATAATGCTAAGCACCTATGTTAGATAAATGCAGGCTTGCTATGATAAATATGTACTGCCAAGTAATGAGTTTTTATAAAAAAGCTATTTTTCCTCCCTATGGGCCATTCATTAATACAAACTGCAGAGTTGCAAACTTTCCAAAGTTTTTCTTTGGGACAAAAGTTGAGGAAATATATGCAGGTCTGTCACCTTTCATTCAATGAGCTAGAGATTTATGCAATCATGTCTTAATGTCTGCACTCACACCAAAGTACCACTGGATCATTTATCAAGATTAACTGCAGTCCAAAATTCTACACAAATAACATTAATTATAACTTTTACTTCACCTACTGTATGCTGTTAAAATGAGGGAGTTGTAACAATAAGAGTTGTCCCCCCCCACCCCCATGTGCAAAAAAACAAACTTAGGGAGGAATCCACCTAATATTAGGTTAATTTTACACTTAGTACCAGCAAGCAATTCTCCCTGAACCAAGCAACGCTTATTTCCGAGTAAACACTTTACATACTTTAAACTTCACACAGCAATTTCTATATTTAGAAATAAACTGTATTAATTTTAATGTTTTAAATAAATGTATTCATAAAATTGATCCTTTGTAATGGATCATTAAGGAATTTGTAGACTTTACTTTTTAAGTTACGTGAACAATTAGAAACTCACTAGTGGGTGAATTCTGACTTTTCCATTCAAAGTTCTGTGATGCACTTTTTAAAAATTTGGGCTAAAGCCTACTACTGACTTTGAAATAATTCCAATCCAGGCCAAGGGGACTTATTCCCTTGTCAAGCAGCAATTCTATACATTCATATGAATTTAAGAGAACATTTCTGCATAAACATGCACAACGTTAAAACTATTCCTCTCACTGATCCTAAACTTCTTCATTCAGAAGTAAAATGGTGCCTCTTGTTTGAGAACACTGATAAATTTACCATGTACATTCAAAAAGTACTACTTTTTAAAAGAGCTATAGGTCACCATATGCTTTGTTTACTCAAAGTAAATCTTGTAACTTCAAGGAGTCATGGGAGGTATTCCTCAGCCCTACAAATTTAACACTAAAGTCTAAGCACGATTGCTGCTAATATAGAATATTTGTAGTTCAGGTTGAAATGAGAGTTCCTTGGTGCTCTCTGACCTTGCCTAGCTTTTTGCAGACATTTCATTACCCATTATCATATTCATTATCAGTGTTACTGATGTTGCCTAGTTTGAGTTACTGGCACTGATGATGGTTACTAGAACTCATGATGTCACCTAGTTTGGGTAATGAAACCTGTACAAGAAAACAAGCAAGCATCCAAGGACCCCTCAGGATAGCTGTACCTCGATCTTCAAAGGCAGCTACTAAAGAGCAGAATCCCGTACAGTCAAGAGCCCGTCAATCTGCGCGTTTCACTGCGACTCGGCTGCCACTTTAAACCCACTTACCCACGGATAATTTCCATTCCAAAAACGGTCTGTCCCAGAGCAAAAACCATTGTCAGCCACTTTTTAGCTGGCTGGGATTACTTGGGGGGGGGGGGGGTTTCTATCTTTTGTGCGGAAGCAAGCAAGCAAAAAGGCAGGAGAACCCCCCCCCGTGCTCCAGCCAAACAGCGCCTTTGCTAAAACGGCCAACTTCACTTGGGAACCAGCCCCCCCACCCTCCGCTGCGCGGGGTTCCAAATCCGGATTAGGATTCCGCGCTCGGACCGACGACCGAGGAAACCCGCACAGGCAGGGCAGAGGAAACTCTTTTCAGAAAAATAAGGGCCGGAGACAAACTCGCCGCCCTCGTCGGATTTCCAGAGTAACCAGCTCGGGATCAGGGCCCAATTCGGGGAAGGCAATCCGGAGGAGATCGGGAGGGCCGGCCCGGGGAAGCTCCTCCTCGTCCCAGAAGACGACGGGAACACCACGGAGAAGCGCAGGTCGTCGTCGCCAGGCCGCCCGCCCCACTTCCCCGCCCGTCCCCGCACTTCGCAGGACGGCTCCATGGCTCGCTACCTTCGGCTGCAGAGTCCCGCGGCTTCTGGAAACTTTCCCGCGGCGGCTGAGGCGGCCTCTCCGACTGGGGTGGGGGGATAGAAAGAGGAGGGTGAGGGGGGGGGAGACACAAAGAAAGGGGGTTGAGACGACGCGGCCAAAAGCGCCCCCGGCGAATCTCACCCCCCCACACCCACCCCCGCCCCCCCCCCATTTCCGCCCCCTCCCCGGCCGCCCCGCGCGCGCCTCTCCCCGCCGCCCTCGCGCTTTTACCTCAGAGTCGGACCCGGAGGCGCTGCCGCCGCGGTTCTCGGACTCGTGGACGAGCGAGGACTTGAGCTCGTCCAGGTCGCCATGAGCCGAGCCGCGCCCCCCGGCGCCCTTGTCCTGCTCGTCGCCCTCATCCTGGAAAGCGATGAGCTCGTCCGGGGCGCCCAGGTCGTCGCTGCTGCTGCCGGCTCCGCTGCTGCTACTGCCGCTGCCGCCCGCTCCTCCTCCTCCACCGGCGGCGGCGGCGGGCTGCAGCTGAGGCATAGTGCGGCGGGGTCCCGGTGCGGCGGGCGGCCGCTCCGCGCACCCCGCCTGCCTCAGCCCGGCCTCCCGCCTCAGCCCCGTCCCGCCGCCGCCGCCGCCGCCCCGACAAAAGTTTTGACACTCGCGGGAAGGGAGGCGGAGGCGCCACGGAGTTTCCCCTCCTGCGGCGTCGAGGGAGCGCGGAGAGGCGGGAAAAGGCCAGGCGGCGCCGGACGGTGAAGGCTGGGCGGCGGCTGAGAGAGTCCGGGTGGAAGTCGCTCGCTCCGGCGACCGGAGGGGTCCCCTGCTCAGCCCACCCGGGGAGGGTCGAGAATGCGAGCGAGGGGCCGGGAAGGAGGAGGAGGCGGAGGAGGAGCTCCCGCTGCAAATTGACACCCCGGGCGAGCGGGAGGAGGGGAGGGGGAGGAGGAACGCCCCCCCGCCAGACACCCCTTTCCGCTCCTCATCCCCCTCCGCCCCCACCCTTTTCTCCCGGGACCCCCCAGCGCCGCGCCCCCTCTCCGCGCAAGGCGTCCCCTCCCGCTTTCCCCCGGTGCGAGCACTTTTCCTTCTCTCTTCCCACTTTTATTGTGATTTAAAAGCGGGGCGGGGTGTGGGGGAGGCCGTTTTGGAGCGGGTCTTACTCCCGGGCTCTGCCTTTTCTTTTTCTCCCTCCTGGAAAGGAGAGATGCAGAAACAAGGGATCGCTGGAAGCAAAAAAAAGGGGGGGGAGACGGCGTGGGGGGGAGAAGAGAGGCGGACCTCGTTGCAAAGGCTCGCCTGGCCAAATAAAAGCAAGGAATCCCGAAGGAGCCGCCTCTCGCTTCCCCACACACCCCCTCCCGGATCCCTGATTGCTAAATCTTTGCGGGCGGGTTTGCATTTCAATGGATGGGATAAAGAGGGATCTTTGCAGCCCGTTCCTGTGCAAGGTAACTTTGAGAAGTCAAACGGGGTGGGGGGGGGAGGCTGCAACCTAAGTGTGTTTCCTTCCGATCTGGAGAGTTAAATTCCGTGGAATTTGGAAGGATTTGCTTCGCGAGTGTGCGCCTTGAAGTTTACATGGCGTGCCTGGTCAGAGAGGTCTTCTCCAGATACTCAGCGCCGCGTATGGAATAAGCTGCTTGACAGCCATGATGATAGGAGCGTTCAAAGCAAAATCCGGTTCAATTCAGCGGGAGCATAAATTGCCAAGCGCTCGAAATTGCAGCCATTATCCCGCTGCTTCCTTTTTTTTTTTTTTTTGCAAAGCAGCTAAAACTCTTAAACACATTGTCCAACAAGTTGCTAATAAGACAACACCTACAAGAGCAGTGAGTGAAACGGACACACACACACACACTCTCACTATATGTGGAATTTACACGCATTTTTCTCTCATGAATTTAATTTCCACAGGAATTTTAATGCCCTCAACAGATTTTTAAAACAATGCCCGAAAAATGTCTTGAAAGGCAAAGGAGACCAGAGTTTGGCAAGTGACACTGGTATGAGAATAGGAGTGATGCTAATAAAAATTTGCATTTGAGGCTTATGGTTTGTTGTGCTGCTTTCCATCTCAAATACTTTGATGTCAGCTATTTTTGATTTTTTTAATGGCATTTATTATCCAAATCTGGCATATATCCCATATTCTGTGGATTACAAGAGCTGAAGACCTGCACTAAATTGGATGAGGCTTTGGTATATGTGATGGAATGGAGTCATTTTTAAAAATAAAGTTGGTATCTTTCAAGGCCTGGCTATTATAGTATGTTAGCCTCTGGTTCCAGTTATTTCAGCCTGACATTTGCTGCCTCTGGTTATATTAGCACAAAGTGTTGAGGGAAAAAAACAACACATGCAGTGAAATTACCTACCTATCCACCTCTCTTTAACCCAGCAACTGTTCCTTAGATTTCTTATCAAAGTGATAAATATTTTTTATTATTTATCACCTTTGATAAAGTGATAAGATAAAGATGGTTATTGTACTATAGAAATGAAAAAGAGATTAATTCTAAAGCAGAAAAGCTATGACAAATGTAGACAAGAAGATGAAAGATAAGGGCATTATAATGATAAGGGAGTAATATTGAAAAGCAATGGTGTTTCTAGTGTTGATGCACTCTAAAACCTGGACCCTTGGAGAAAAAAAGGGGGGGGGAAAGGTAAGCTTCTTTTAGGATATAGATGTAATTAGTCCTGAAGCAAAGAAAAGCTGACTCTTCTTCCTTGAAGTGATGTTCAGTAAACAGATTTTGAGCAAGTGATTCAAGTGGAATATACATAAGAAAAAAAGATTATGTTTGGCAAAATTGAGAGAAGTAGAAAAGGGAGAAGAACACTGGTGGAAAAGGTGGAAGAACAAGATCAAAAAGATTACTAGAGTACTTTGGGAATGATATGAGTTGTTATTTATTTTATTTAGATTTATATTGCTGCCTATTCACACATTATTAGTGTACAGCCTGGGCAAAATGCCACCAATATGTCAATACATGAGTAATTTGGTGAATTCAAACCAATTCAGTAGCACCTGTCACTAATATATGAATGAATGGCTCCAAAATGGCATCCACTCTTAAGTTTGCCCTAAGTTTGCACAAAGATAAGTCTGAAATCTTGGATAAAATGTGATGTGCAGAGCACCAAAAATGGCTCTATTCTCCGTATGTTTATTCTCCGTATTTTACTTTGCTTTTGAATGACATTTCAAAGTGAGGATGGCCAGGATAAGGAAAGCCAAAACAGAAATGAAAAAAAAAATGATTTAATTTAAAATATTGGTATTTTAAATTAAATATTAGTGGGTTGAATCCAATAGTGCAGGACAATCCCAAATTGAGCTGAGTAGAGGTTGTGAAACGGATCCTTTAACATTTTCAGAAGTCCTATTATGTCAGACAGCATAAAATGCAAAGGGTCTGCTAAAAGTCTGAAGGTTTTTTAAAATTAGTTATAGCTTGAAGTTGTATAATTTTAGAGCGGTCCTTTATTTTCTGTACCAATCGCCCTCCAGTTTCACTAAACGTTTGTGTACATGGACTGTGGTTAATAGAAATTTCAGCCCAAATACATCAAGCAAATAACAGACATGGGAAAGCTGTTGCGCTCACTGCTCATTTCACAGGGATTCCCTGAGCCACTTCATAGAAAAAGGAGCCTCTTTTGTGGTCAGTGTTCTGTTAAATGAAATGTGTCTATATACTTAGTTCACCCAGATTGCCTTAGCAATATTTTAATACTTTGTCACAGGCTTACCTTGGTGTGTCAACAGGATGTTACATATTTACCTTCTTTTTGTTTTTAAACTTTTCAGTCAGAATAGACTGAGGTATAGTACACCAATAAGATTTATTGGCATGTTTGCCAAGAATAAATTTCCAGCGCAGTATCCAAGAAAAGCCTTCTAACCAAAACAAGTAAGAAGTTGCATTATATTCCCAACTACAGGTAGTCCTCAATTTATGACCACAATTAGGAACAGCATTTCAGTTGCTAAGCAAGCAATTTTTAAGTGAGCGTGTCCAGTTTTATGACCTTTTTTTTGCCACAGTTGTTAAGTGAATCACTGCAATTGTTATGTCATGGTCTTTACGAGAATCCAGCTTCCGCCTTTGACTTTGCTTGTTGGAAATTGGCCTGGAAGGTCGCACATGGCAATCATGTCACCTTGGGAGACTGCAGCAGTTATAAATGTGAGGGCTGGTCTTAAGTCACTTTTTCAGTACCATTGTAACTTAAAACAGTTGCTAAATGAATGGTTGTATGTTGAGGATTACTTATATTTCATCCTGCAAAGTAAAAGCTATGATGCCTGCAATCATTTTCATTTCATTTTCATTTTATTAAATTTGTATACCGCCCTACTCCCGAAGGACTCAGGGCGGTGAACAGGCACGAAATAAAACACATAAATACAAAAGTTAAGACATGATTAAAACCCAATTAAATAATTTTTGCCCGAGACAATTTAAAACTCCCAATAATTTAAAACAAATTAAAATTTGAGTTTAAAAATTTTAAAGAAGGGGAAAAAATTAGGCCAGGCCGGCCTGCTGGAATAGGAGTGTCTTCAAAGCACGGCGGAAAGTGTGCAGATCCGGGATCCTCCGTATCTCCGGGGGGAGCTCGTTCCAGATCGTAGGTGCCCCCACAGAGAAGGCTCTCCCCCTGGGGGCCGCCAGTCAGCATTGTTTGGCTGACGGCACCTGGAGGAGCCCTCTCTATGAGAGCATACCGGCCGGTGGGAGGCTGTTTGTGGTAGTAGGCGGTCCCATAAGTAGCCAGGTCCTAAGCCATGGAGCGCTCTAAAGGTGGTAACCAAAACTTTGAAGCGCACCCGGAAGACCATCGGGAGCCAGTGCAGCTCGCGCAGGAGAGGTGTCACATGGGAGCACCATGTTGCTCCCATAACCACCCACGCGGCCGCACTCTGCGCCAGTTGGAGCCTCCGGGTGCTCCTCAAGGGGAGCCCCATGTAGAGAGCGTTACAATAGTCCAGGCGGGAGGTACCGAGGGGATGAGTGACTGTGTGTAGGGAGTCCCGATCCAGAAAGGGACGCAACTGGCGAATCAGGCGAACCTGATGAAAGATCCTCCCGGTCACGGCCGTCAAGTGCTCTTCTAAAGACAGCCGTGAGTCCAGGAGGACACCCAAGTTGCGAGCCCTCTCCGTGGGGGCCAGCGATTCGCCCCCAATAGTCAGTGATGGCGTCAACTGACTATATCGGGATGTCGGAAACCACAGCCACTCGGTCTTGGATGGGTTGAGCCTGAGCCTGTTCCTCCCCATCCAGATCCGCATGGCCTCCAGACACCGAGACATCACTTCAAGGGCATCGTTGGGGTGGTCTGGGGTGGAGATGTACAGCTGGGTGTCATCAGCGTACTGGTGGTACTTTACCCGAAACCACGGATGATCTCACCCAGCGGCTTTACATAAATGTTGAACAAAAGGGGCGAGAGGACCGACCCTTGTGGCACCCCACATATGAGGGGCCTCGGGGTCGATCTCTGCCCCCCTGCCAACACAGACTGCAACCGGCCGGAGAGAAAGGAAGAGAACCACCGTAGTACAGTGCCTCCCACCCGTAACCCTTCCAACCGGTGCAGCATGATACCATGGTCAATGGTATCAAAAGCCGCTGAGAGGTCTAACAGGACCAGGACAGAGGAGCACCCCCTGTCCCAAGCCCTCCAGAGATCATCAACCAACGCAACCAATGCCGTTTCCGTGCTGTACCCGGGTCTGAAACCCGACTGGAACGGATCCAGATACGTCGTCTCATCCAGGTGCTGGGGAAGCTGTTGCGCAACCACACTCTCGACAACCTTCGCCACAAAACGAAGGTTGGAGACCGGACGATAATTAACCAACATTGCCGGGTCCAGGGAAGGCTTCTTGAGGAGAGGCCTCACCACTGCCTCTTTCAAGGCGGCGGGGAAGTCACCCTCACCCAATGAAGCATTTATAATCCCCTGGAGCCAGCCTCGCGTCACCTCCCAGGAAGCCAGCACTAACCAGGAAGGACATGGGTCCAATAAACAAGTGGTCGCGTTCAGTCTGCCCAGAATCCTGTCAACGTCCTCAGGGGTCACAGGATCAAACTCATCCCAGATAACATTCTCAAGACCTGCCCCAGTCCCTCCCCCTGAGACTACCCAGTCGGAGTCCAGATCTTCCCGAATCTGAGTGATTTTGTCATACAGATACTGAACAAAATCCTCGGCTCTACCCTCCAAGGGGTCCTCCCGCGCTTCCTGGTGGAGCAGGGAGCGGGTCACCCTAAACAGGGTGGCCAGGCGGTTATCTGATGACGCAATAAGAGGAGCAAAATAACTACATTTTGCTGCTTTTATCGCCACTAGGTAATTCCTAATATGGTATCTTACCAGTGTCTGGTCCGATTCAGAAAGACTGGCCCTCCAACTACTCTCTAGGCGTCTTTTCCAGCGCTTCAACTCCCTCAGCTCCTCAGTGAACCAAGGAGCCAAATGAGATCGGCGCCGGGTCAGAGGCCACAAAGGCACGACCCGATCCAGAGCTCCAGCAGCCGCCCTATCCCAGGCGGCCACTAGGTCTCCAGTCGAGGCGTGTGCCAGAGCCTTGGGAAATGGCCCAAGCTCCATCTGGAACCTATCAGGTTCCATCAGGCGCCTGGGGCGGAACCATCTTACCGGCTCCGCCTCCCTGCAGCGGGGTGCAGCGGTTCGAAGGTCGAGACGAAGGAGAGAGTGATTTGACCATGACAAGGGCTCGGTAACTATATCCCCTATCTCAAGATCACTCAGCCACTGTCCAGAGACAAAAACCAGATCCAGCGTGTTTCCCCCCGTGTGGGTAGGGCCATGAGTTAACTGGGTCAGGTCCATGGCTGTCATGGAAGCCATGAACTCCCGAGCCACCTCAGACGCCTCACCCACGGACGGCAGGTTGAAATCCCCCATTTTATTTATTTATTTATTTATTTTTGAATTTGTATACCGCCCTTCTCCCTGAGGACTCAGGGCGGTGAACAGCCAGATAAAAACACCAGATACAAATATTAAAACACATTTAAAAATATATATAGATTTGGCCCCGTTAATTAAAAACGATCAGCAAAACAGAACAATTAATAAAACCCTTAAAAAGAAATTAAGCCATGACCATAAGCCTGGGGGTATCAACCGCCACCGCGGCAATGACGTTGAGTAGCTCGGGCAGGGCTGTTGCCACGTGGCAGGGAGCCAGGTACGTGATCAGCAAACCCATCTGAACCCCACGACCCCACTTCACGAGGAGGGACTCACAGCCGGCCGTCTGAGGAACAGTGGCCTCCCTCGGTCTCAGACCTTCTTTAATAATAACCGCTACTCCCCCGCCCCTGCCCTGTAACCTCCGCCGATGGAATGCGAGGAAACCTGGTGGGCACATCTCGACGAGGGGGACCCCCCCTCCTGGCCCAACCAGGTCTCCGTAATACCCGCCAGGTCCGCTCCCCCCTCACAAATAAGATCACAAATGAGGGGGGCTTTATTTACTATGGACCTGGCATTGCACAGCATCAGCCGAAGGGTCGGGTCCTGAGGGTCTGTGCAACCTGGGGAACGGGTGGAGCCTTCGGGGCCGGAGCATGTCACTGCTTGTAAACAGCGGGTACGTGCTCCCTTGACTCGATATGGCCCCCTGCTCCCGCCATACCTACCCCTCCCACTCACGGTAATGATATTCAGAACACTATCTGGACAAACTATGACTCCCCCCTCGACCCCGAGATCCCCACCTCCCACACCGTGCTTCCTTGCCAGGCCCACCCCTCCCCTTTGTGGGCTATCCCCCATACCCACGACCCGCATTCCAATCAAACCCTCCCCCTCCCTAGAACCCCTTAAAAAATTTACAAAAATTTTTGATATAAAACCCCTCAACCCTCTAGTTTTTGCATGCCAATCAAGCTGACTTGTTCTTACATGATGCCTTAATTAATCTCCTAAAATACTCTTAATTGAGCTGGAAAGAATTACTACCAAGTGTGATATATTTTGGCTTGTATGTACACGATGTGACATGTTTTATCTTTGTTATATCTTTTGGTAGGAGTCAGAGTGTGCAAACATCTACCTTGTATTTTTGTTCACCTTAGTGATATAGGAAAGCCTTCATGTTGTGGATTCTTATTATTAGCACAGGTGGGTCAAAAAAGTCAACATAATGAAAGAATAAAAGCAGGAGCTAACATAACATAATATTAAGCAATAGGATTAACAATAGTAAAGAATCAGCAACTCACTCCTGTAAGAATTTGGGAGGAAGATAGCTACTGATACAATCCAAGGGAGATGGGCAGTTGAGAAATATGAAGAAAAATTAATTGCCCTTACTATGATTTATACTTTGTAAAATATAAGTTAAAGATCAGTACTTATTTTGTACTGTTCAGCATATGAGAGACAACAGGGAAGAAAATTGAGAAAAATTAAGGGAGGGCAAATGAGAATAATTTTTATTCTCATTTTAGAATTTGTATTGCAATGGATTGTATTGCAGTGAACTTCATTCACATTGAGTTAAACTATGTTTTATTTTAGCCATGATTGAATAAACCACAGATATCTAGGTTCAAGAGCACACTAAGCCAGATACCATAGTTTGCAAACTATAAACAGGGTTCAGTTGTCATAAGTAGCTAATCCTGAATGAACTGTACAGTGATGTAACATAATACGTAAACTCAGGCTTTGCTACAATTCGATAACTATTAATCTGAGAGATCAGTGAATGTTACTTCTAAATAATTATATGCAGAACTACACATTTGGTTTAGCAATATATGAATATAAAATGATTTTTCATGAATATGTTTACTGTTTTTATATGACATTGGAAATGCTATTCTGACCCAGGCCATATTAGTGCTTTATAGATTGTATCATCACTACTGAATAAGTAGGAGTGTAACTTTCCATTAGTAATAATAAGAGTGTTTCAAAAGGCCTAATGCTTTTTTTCCTGCTGTATCTCATTTGAGGCATATAGGCTACATCTATGTTCATTCAATCTCTACAACACCTTAATGGAAAGATTCTGCTCGTGTGTACTGACTTTCCTACCCTGATGCCCTTCTAGCTTACAGAATATGTTCGTATAACCCACAAACCCATATTTTGCTTAATTGTAAAGGAACTGCGGAATATGATAGTTACAAAGCATACTGGCTGGGTTTGCGCCCTAAGATTCAAACAGAACAAAACCTGGGTAGGATATATGAATGTTACTGACAATTTCCAGCCAGTGTGGCTACATTCTTGTCTTTCTATGCCATGAATCAAGCAAAGCCTTATAAATGGAATGCCATCCTTCCGAGGCACTCTAGAAGAGCTGGATGGGAACTTGAAGAATTTCTAGGCAGCAGACTGGAAGTTGAAGTCCAAGATACAAAGAGGGGACTTGATTGAGTAAGCTTGCCATATCTGTCTGTCCGTCCATCCATCCATGCCTACAATGCCTACCTAGACATTCAGCTGCTAAGAGCTCAGCATGGATAGTAAGGCAAATATTTACTCCGGCTGTAAGCAGTTATCCCTGGATCAGGCTAGGAACAAAAGAGTTAACCACATCTGGAATATTGGTGTGGGATTAACTTCCCCCTGACACATGCTTCTTGCAAACAAATGGTGCTGTGATTGTGCAGACCTTCATTAGAGGAACTTGATGTAATTACCCTCTTTTCTTTACTAGCTTTGCAGCTATCTCAGTTCTGTTTATGAACATTATCAGCATGCATGAATTTATCTGTGATCTTTTCCATGAGCTTCATTTGCATATTGGGCAAATTGCAGTGGCATAATTTCTTAATCTATCACTCCTGTATTGAGCTCATTCCTACTTATTCCTGTTTTGGAATGGGTATACACTACCCATATTTAAAGAAGCTTCATGTATCATTCCAACTCACTCTTTGCTTTAAGCATAGTTTATTCAATCAATCACTTTTGATTTGGTTTCTACATCTCCTTAGGCTAGCTAAGCTATTAGATCTGGGATACAAAATAGGAACAACCATTAGATGGCGGAAAAGAGTTAAAGTGTTTTCCGTATCTTTGCTGCCATCTGGTGATTTAGATGTTTATGCCCCATTTATTTATGGAATGAAATGTGGTGGCCAAGCTGTGATACCAGTTCTTTGGACATGGAGAGAAGGGCTCAACATACATTCCATTTCCTGATTTTTCTCACCTCCAGTTATCCTTTCTGCACCTCAGGCCAGAGGACCGTCTCCAGCTTGGCACTTTCCAAATCGATTGGCATTCCTAACTCTAAGGAATTCTAGGAGTATAATTGCCAGAGCAGAAGAGAATATGCAAGAGAAACGTCCATAGCAAGGTGAAGTGCACTGCATGTAACAAAGTGCAATACAAAAGGTGGGTTTAGATCCAAATATACTTGTATTAGGATTCTAGAGAAATTACAGAGACTTAAATTAGATCTCAACAACTTACGGATTTGATGAGGTTTAGGTAATAGTTTTGGAACTATGACCCTTTTTATTTGATATGTAGCAGTTACAGAAAACATTGGCCACATTTATTTAAACTGTGTTGCAATTACCGTACATATACTGGGCTATTGTTGTTTTTTTTAAAGCTTGAAAATAGGAAATCAAAGGAGAAATGAATATTGAACACCCTAGAGTAACCTTCCAACACTTGAACCCAGTGTGGTCAATGGCCTCACATGTTTGAAAAATGTAAAACTGATTTGTAGACTTTTTTTAGCCACATATTTTTGTAAAACCCTTGAACTAAATGCAATTCAGAATCATGAATAGGCTCTGCATTTACCTCTACCAATATTACACCTCTGCAGAATGAACATATTTAACTGCTTACCTGGGTCATGGGATAGCATATTTTGGGAAAAAAGGAAATTCAGTTAAATGATTAAATTAATTCCATGATGGTTATTTTTGGTTCCAGTCCAAAAATATATTGGTTTGGGATTCAGCTAATTCTCCCCTCATGCCCCCCCCCCACACTTTCATCCTTAGACAAAATTCTGGAGAAGCTACACAGAGTCTGCAATATAATGATTTTTGTGTTCTATTTACAGACTGGGCCCAGTCTGAAGGACACTGGGCAACTTGGCCGTCCACATAACAGATTTCAACCCAAACCATTATATCATAACATACGAATAGGTACTCCTCAATTTACAACAGTTCATTTAGTGACCGTTCAAAGTTACAATGGCACTAAAAAAGTGACATAACTGTTTTTCACACGACCATTGCAGCATCCCATGGTCACATGATCAAAATTCACATGCTTAGCTACTGGTTCATATTTATGATGGTTGTAGTGTCCTGGAGTTATGTGATCCCCTTTTGCGACCTTCTGACAAGCAAAGTCAATGGGGAAGCCAGATTCACTTAATAACCATGTTACTAACTTAACAAATGCAGTGATTCATGTAATAACTGTGGCAAGAAAAGTTTTAAAATGGGGCAAAACTCACTTAACAAATGTTTCAATTAGCAACATACATTTTGGGCTCAATTGTGGTTGTAACTTGAGGACTACCTGTACTTGTTGGAAACACCCCCCCCCATAGTTAGGTTTTTCTTCATAACAACCTGTCCCTAACCTGGCCCTTCGGGCCTTCCAGCAGTGTACCCATCACTACTGCGTCCATTCACCTTGATGTTGATTGTCCTCTTCTTTCCTTTCACCTTTCCCAGCATTAGATCCTTCTCCAGAGAGCTAGGTCATTGCATAATGTATCCAGAATAGGATAAGTTGAGTCTGGTCATTGGTGCATTGAATAAGAACTCAGTTCATTTGTTTAGTGATCAATTTGCTTATTTCCTGGACAGCCATCCATTGAATTCTCAGGTGTTTTCTCCAACATCAAATTTAGCTGTCCTCCTTAAGGTTATTTAAGTTTGATTTAGGCTCAACATCCTTCAAACAGGATGATCTCAACTTCGAAATGGACCCCTCGGCCATCTTTATATTTCTCAGCTTGCCACACAGTTGGGGGTGGGTGGGAGAACAGGCTTGGAATGTCACACCAGACAATAACAACAGATCATCCTGTGGGAACCAAGATCATCCCAACCGATACTGGCCAGAGACTGGAAGGAGTTACCCGGGAGATCCCAGAACACATAATTGGACAATGTGACCTGTGACAAGGGAGGGGAATATTTATTCTTTAATTATACAAAAACTGCAGGAATTATTTAGAGTTGGTTTTGCTTTCATGTGTGCCAAACTCAATAAAACAGTTCTTAAAGAGATCTAATTGTCTTGGAGTGCTGGCTTGGTTGAGTTTGTCAGTTGGAACCTTGACATTAAACCAACTCTCACTTTTCAGATGTCAATTAACTAGCAATCCCTCCAAGGTCCTGAGCCCCAGCCACCTTCCCGGTCACCTTCAGGAGGACAGAAAAGACTCAGAAGATTGTTGAAATGGAATGCAAGGGAGAGCCTGTGACAAAGCCCAGCACGGGTCCAATGAAGTAGGTGCAGGGAGCAACCCAAGCAGATTTCGGAGCCCAGGCAGTAGTGGCCCTACCAAAAGCTCGACCAGAGAGAACTAAGCGACGTGGTGCAGGAAGAAACCATAGTGACCAGAGACTTTTTACAGGTGGAGGAAGATGTCTGGCGAAGGAGAACACCAAAAGTAGCTGAGGCCGAGTTTCCCTTGACTTCCCCTCAGACTTTGTTTGCCCAGGCGCCGTGATGGAGGGCAAACAGGATGGAGAAGTGGGATGATCACGCAGTGGAGATATATGACTGCCAGCCGCAGCCCATCAGTGGAGCAGCCGAGAGGTTTCACTACTTGGATGTGCGCTAAGTGGAACCGATACAGAGAATGGAGCTGTTGGCCGAAGCCAGAATCTAACCGATCCTGTCACTTCTGGCCAGTTGGAGCCCAAGCCCAACTGCTGCAGCAGGAACGACCAGTTCCCCGCAAAGAGCTGCCGCTTCAGCTAGCCCTACCCCAAGGCAGAGTCCCATGAGGCATTACTGGGCTGCGAGCCCATCTGCACGCGCTGTTGGCCAACTGCTGCCCCCACCAGGATGGCCCAGTGACAGCCGTGGCCTTACTATCCTGGGCCTGGGTGGTTCGCTGGACACGGGGCCTCCACCACCACCTGCAGACCCTCCACCAATAAAGGCCATGTTCAACAGAAGCCCAGAGAAACTGTTGTTCTTCCTGAACTAGGTGTGGGCCCAGTATGCCCCATACTGGACCGGTATGCCCCACCTACCCTCACAAGGGGATAATGGCAAATGGCGTGACTGCCAACCTCAAAGGGGAAGCAGTGAAATGGGTAACGGGCCTCCACGATGAGGGAGCACCAGAGTTGGGGAACATTGATGACTTCCTAGTGGAGTTTAGGGTCAGGTTTGAAGATGCGACCCAAGTCTGGAAAGCAGAGTCAGAGATACTCCTTTAGACAAGAGAGCTGACTGGTGGTGGAATACATCTGGGAGTTTCAGAGAGTCATAGGCAAGTTGAGGCACTGACCAGAGCGGCTATTGGTCTACCACTTCACAAATGGCTTGAATCGAGAGCTATTCCACACCTGCCTGTCCTGGGGAATACCCGACCGGATCCACAACTGGTACCGGGTGGTGACAGTGATAGATCTCAACATGAGAGAATACAAGAATGGTACCCCCCGAGCCAAAACTGAAGAGGAGCCAAGAGCACCACTGACCAGCCCCCCTGAGCTGCCCCCACCCACCAGACCATTTTGTGCTTTCAATGTGACCAGCAGGGCCATAGGTCAGCTGAGTGACTGGCACCTGCTCCCCGACCAGCGACAAGAGCTCCCACCAAGCCAAAGAAGCCGCAGTGGAAGGGGTGAGAGAAATTGAGTGTGGTGTACTAAGTCATAGAGGTCTCCTCCCCAGCAGTGAGAAATAGGGAACTCCAGCCAAGGAGGACCAGCAGCTGATCCCCTACAAGATCAAGGACAAAGGGGAGAACAACCCAATGATAAGTGGAGCCATCCGTCCCTTTTCAATCCTGGTGAAGATTGTAGCGCCCAAATTGGGAGCCCAGAGAGAAATGGAGGTACTTGTAGACTTAGGCTGCACTTAGTGTTTGATGAGCATGCTGACAGTGCTGAAGCGGGGAATATGATAGCGAAAACTGCCTCAATCAATGAAGTTTGAGCAAGTGTATGGCTTATTAATAGGGGACTGCCCGCAACGCACCTGATAGAGCTCATGAAGCTAGAGATAGGCCAGCATCAAAAAACCATCTGATCAGTGGTAGCACCAAAGACGGAGGCAGTAATACTGGGGCTGTCCTGGTTAGATAAGAGGGTGCATACCATATGGTGCAGAAAGAAGAGAGAAAGCTGAAGCTGGGGAAGAGGCTCCCCCTTCAATAAGAAACCTTGGAGGAGAGGCAGAACAGCAGAGAGTTAAGGGGGAGTCACGACATCAAGCAACCTAGCCACTTTGGGTTTTTAAAAACACTACATTTAGTAGTGGAAGAGAGAGTGAGAAGCACTGTAATTTGGACAGTGATAGACCTCCAAACAAGCCCATTTTGTAGCCTGTTCAAGCCTCCCATCTGCCCAGAAACTGGCCTAGATGTTCCTTCAGCATATCTTCCAACTGCACGGAGTACCAAAAAGAATCATCTTGGATCAGGAGGTCCAATTCATTGCTATGTTTTGGAGAAAGTTTGTAAAGTTGATAGGATCCTCCCAAGGGCTTAGTGTTGTGGTCCACCAGCAGCCTGCGGAGCTGACAGCAGAGTCGGACAGCGATGAGGCTGAGGAAGAACAGGGGCCAGTCCTGGAGGCTGAGGAAGGCCCAGATGAGGGCTCTGCATCGGAGACAGAGATTGGGCCAGAGCCATTGGGGAGTGAGGTCCAGACTCCGGAGCCTCCAGAGGCTGACAGTAGAGAGGCAGAGGAACAAAAGGAGCCTGTTCCTAGTGCACCTGTCAGGTTCCGAATCAGGATAAGAAAATAAATCGCAGATAACAGGGTGGATGTTGTTCTAAAGTTTTATCTTCCTAAATTAGGCACGCTCCGACAATCACCGAGTGCAATTACAGTGAAATATTGTCAGCTCTAACCTTATCGTGCTTTCCCTTCCTGTTTTAAACCTAGCGCTACTCCTCCCCCAGATTCCACACCAAATCCCTGTGCTGATTGGAGGGCTCCAGCTGCCTTCCTCCGGCCAGTAATTCAATACAGTTAGTCCTGGTTCGTTGGGGCCATTCCGATCGGGATAGGTCTGATAAGCGTCCATTAATGCTGGCTAACGCAGCTGGCACCTCATCCATGCAAGTGCAGTCCTATCCGCCCTCAGCTGGAGACCCTGTGTACAGCTGAAGGAAGAGGATTCCACTGTCTGTATGCAGGAAGAGGCAAGTGATGGCAAGGCAAGATATCTGGGCAGGAAAGTGGGCTGCACACTCTGTCTCCTTCCGTGTATGAGAAGAGCCCCGACGATGTGTATGAGAAGTGCTACTAGAAGGTAAAAGCAGCTACAGCAAAGAGGACGACTTGGGAGTAGGGCCAAGAGATGATTGGCCCCTCCCATAAGGCTTAAAAGACCAGCAATGGCTCTTGGGCTCTTTGTCAGGAAACAACGTTGATAGACTTGCTCTTGTCTGGCTGCACTTATCTCTTGTCGGCGTCTTCTGCTTCTGAACTTTTGCCAAGAAAAGCCTTTGGCAGTTTGCCTAATTATACCAAGATTGGTGATTAGACTGAAGAGTTTGTGTTATGAAGAGTTCATTTTGATTTAGTTTGAACTATGTTGAGAATGAGTTAATTCTTAGCTGTTCTAATAAAGTCTGTTTGCTTTGGAACTGTTTGTGTCTAGTACTACCTACTTGGGCCTGGGTCACAACACTTAGTTCCCCATTTCATCCAAATACAAATGGGGCCGTAGAACGAGTGAATGCAATGATAGAACAATAATTAAGGTGTTATGTCAACTATCAGCAGTCTAATTGGGCAGACCTCCTGCCATTTGCTGTGAAGTTGCATACAACAATGCAGTACTTAGCAGCACAGGGCTTACTCCGTTTAAAATAGCCACGGTGGTGGAGTTTGTCCCCATGCCAGAATACCCTCAGGAACCCCCCTCCTCAGTAAGCTTAACGGAGTGGGTGGGTTCTTTGTAAAACACATGGGGGAATGTAAAGCGAGCACTGGCTAAAGCGACGGAAACTCAGAAAATACAGGCAGACAAGAGGCAAGTGCCTCAGAAACCATTTCACATAGGAAAGAAAGTGTATGTCTACAAAGTATCTGAAATTAAAGTTGCCCTGCCAAAAGCTGGGTCCAAAGTTTATAGGGCCTTTTCCCAGAGTGAAAATTATAAATCCAGCCAGTGATTTTAAATTGAAATTATAAATTCCAGTAGAATTAAAACTGCCATATCTACTGGGGAAAATGCATCCGGTGTTTCACCGCAGTCTGCTTAAGCCAGGTCAGAGCTAAGGCCAGTAGCAAGGATAGCTCCAGGTCCAATTGTAGTGGAGGGGGAGAAACACTACGAGGTTAAGAGGGTCCTGGATTCTAGATCATACAAGAGGAAACTCCAGTACCTAGTCCAGTGGAAGGGATGCCTGATGTCAGAAGCTAGATGGGTAAAAGCGCAGAATATGAAGGCAAACAGATTGATAAAGAAGTTTCACAAAAAATACCCCCAGAAACCGAAAGGGACATAGGGAACCCTCTGAGTTCTATTAATATCTGTATGTGCTTAATGTCTTCCAGGTGCTTTTTTCTTTCAGCGGGATCCAACTGTCAACTTTGAAACTGACCCCTGCTACTGCAGCCATCTTTATATTTCTCAGCTTGCCACACTGGGAGTGGGGGGGAGAGGCTTGGAATGTCACACCAGACAATAACAGATCATCCCGTGGGAACCAAAGACATCCCCATTGGTGCTGGCCAGAGATTGGAAGGAGTTACCCGGAAGACACCAGAACACCTAATTGGACAATGTGACCTGTGACAAGGAGGGAGGGGAATATCTATTCTTTAATTATATGAAAACCACAGGAATTATTTAGAGTTGGTTTTGCTTTCATGCATGCCAAAATGATGTAATCAATAAAACAGATCTTAAAAGAGATCTAATAAGAGTGCAGAGAAGAGCAACCAAGATGATTAGGGGACTGGAGGCTAAAACATACATGAATGGTTGCAGGAACTGGGCATGGATAGTCTAGTGAAAAGAAGGACCAGGGGAGACATGATAGCAGTGTTCCAATATTTGAGGGGCTTACACAGAGAGGAAGTGGTCAAGCTATTTTCCAAAGCCTCTGAAGGCCAGACAAAGAATAATGGATGGAAATTGAACAAGGAGAGATTCAACCTAGAAATAAGGAGAGATTTTCTGACAATGAGAGCAATCAACCAATGGAACAGCTTGCCTTCAGAAATTGTGGGAATGTCATCACTGGAAGCTTTCAAAAAAAGACTGGACTGCCATCTGTCAGAAATGGTGTAGAGTCTCCTTGGGTGGGAGGTTAGACTAGATGACCTACAAGGTCTCTTCCAACTCTGTTAATCTGTTAGGCTTGGTTGGGTTTGTCAGTTGGAACCTTGACAGATGTCTTCAAATAGAAGGACTGTCCTCTAAAGCAGAACATGTAGCCTTTCTACTTGATAAACTTCATGTGGAAAAAAGTCCATTCCTGTTGCTTGATAGAGTTCATATGGGAAGAGAGTCCATTCCTGATGCTAAGGAATTTTGTGTTCTCTTGTTCCAACAAGCACTGAATCCCGCACTGTCCTTGATCTCAGGAGAATGAGGCAGACAAGAATGCTAAATCCTAACTGTACAGAGCAAGAATTATAGGTCTAATAATACCACTATTGTGACAGACATGGGAGGCTCCTTTGGGCCTGGAAGAATTCCTCAGAGAAAACAGCCTCAGAATCCCATTCTCAATGTATCTGACTAGCTAAAAAAGAAGCTGTTTCATATCAGACCACAAACTGTTTTTTTTTTCTAATTTAGGAACTGTGGGGAGAGAAGAACATGTTAGCACCTTTTTATCTCCCCGTTTTTTCATCTCCAAAAGCTGAATCCATGAAAGGAAGAAACAATAAAAGTGTGTGTTGTTGGAAGTGAGCTATTCTTGATTGACAAATTAGGGGCTCAATGGAACTAATTAAATCTGACCTTGGGCCTCTTCTGGAAAATAAGAATATTAGAGCCTTCTTCCCATGCTGTTAAAATACTTTGATTCCTCCATTGATCAACTGAATGTGCTTTGCTTCTCTTCTTCAGGCAGTAATGACTCAGTTTGGAATCACAGATATTTTTCTACTAATGAAGAACTTTAGCATGAGGTCATCAGGAAAGGTAGGGAGCAATTCCTGTTAAAAGAGGACTGCAGACTCCAGTGATAGCAATGGATGAAAATTTGTTTGCCTGCAAATACTATTTTTACCTTCTTATACTTTTGTTCATTCGTCTAAAATTGTGTGATATTTAAAATGAACAAGAAAAAAATTGATCAAATATGATTTCAACATAATTTCAAATTGTCTTTGGATTTGGGATCCTAAAGGGATTATCTGATATCAATTCCTCAAACACTTAATAGTTAATAAAGTTATTCAGGCACAATTCTTAACAGAATTCCTAAACCCTTTTCTTCAATGCTACGTACATACAAACACAAGGTGGGTTCACAATCTGCGCTAAGAATAACGTGGGTGGCCATGGTTGTAGCATAAATCACAAGTAGTTGGGTTTACATATCACGCTAAGCAAAAACGATTTAATATTTATTTAACCATAAAGATTGGGTTAATTCCACATGCAAAGCCACAAACACTGTAAGCCCCATAATGACTCAATGTGTCAAGTAGATCATCAGAATTTGTTGAAGCTCGTCTATCATGTCAGTGGCCACTAATGAATCATCAGAACAGTTATTTAACGTTTGTAGGGCCATACATTTTCCTTGCTTTAAATAACTGGTAAATAGAATTATAGTAAATAGAATCTAAGTCCCGATGAACTATAACATAGACAAATTACAAAAAAGCCTTTGGTTATGTCAGTTTCTCCCTATCTGGTATTCCCTGATGGGATTACAGCTCTCAGAATTCCAGGAATTGTTGGCTCAAAATATCTGAGGGCATCAGGTTGCGGGAACCTGTAATATCCTAAAGATTCCATTACAAAGGGATATAAAATGAACTCAATATGTGCCACTGTTTTCCACCATGACCTAATGAGGAAATCAGTAGCCAACTGCATATCTTCCATTTTAAAGATCTCAAGGTCAATACTTGCCATCTCTGTTTAAGGTACCCCAAATAATATGGCTGGCATGATCTGTCTGATAGCCTATGAGGCTCTTAAAGCACTACCTATTAAGAAACTATTGAATTGCTAACAAGTATCTCAAATCAAAAGACACAAGTCCTTAATAAAGTAATTGGGTTATAATGTACTGATGAGGCTCTCCTGTTCTTGTTATTTCCATCTGGATCTTGCCTTTCTATCAAAAGACCTCTCTAGATGATTAATGCCTTGCTCTTCTCCTTTCCCTGGTGCCAACCTCCAGGATATATAGCAGTGATAGTGAACGTTTTCAGCACTGAGTGCCAAAATGGAAGCATGCATGCAAAAATGGAGGAGCTGCCCAGGGCGCATGCGTGCATCCGAAAATGAACTTCTGGTTTCAGCTACTGAACTTCCAGTTTCAGCCAGCTACTCTTCCAGGTTTCTGGTGCGCATGTGCACGTGATGATCAGCTGGCCAGCCCGCTTGCTCACACAGGAAAACGGAAGACCAGCTCTTCTAGTTTCTGGCACTGCCGCATGCAAAAAAGCCAGCTGATCATCACGCACGCATGCGTGCCAGAAACCCAGAAGAGGAACGAGTGACACCGCGCATGCCAGGCGACATGGCTCTGTGTGCCACTTCGGGCATGCATGCCATAGGTTCACCATCACAGATATATAGCATCATACAGGCTGCGTTCAGACATTGTACTAAGCTACACTTTTAATAAAGCCAAAGTCAAAACCTAACAAGTCATTGTTTGGTATAAGACAATCTGTGAATCCAGCATGAAGCATAGATTTCTGTTGCAAAGTTGGTAAAACTATAATGCCTTCTAGAATAGGGTGGACATGTGATACCAAAAGAAGAACTTATTTGAATAAACCACACGAGCTAATGTATATGCCTAAGAGCAAAGCAAGAAATAAGGAGAAAATGTACACAGTAAAGTATATAGTAATATGGCAGTTTTTGATAATGGGGAAGATGAGCTGTGAGGCCACCAATATTTACTAGTTGTTTCAATTGATCCATTTTCTGATCTTGCACATAGATTGAACCATTAAATAACAATTTAGGTTGGGGTTAGTATAGCATATTCAAGTATGGTTGGCTACTTTGTGGTTCAGATTGTTGTGCAAACATACCCACCATAGCTTGGCTTGTTGTGCAGACAACAACTGAGATACATAATGGTCCACCTTCTGAAGCCATATCACACCATAGTCACATGTGGTATAGCTCCAAGGACTTAAAGTGAATTTCAAGGGCCCCCTTGGGTCAACCTTCCTGCAAATAACTTCTCAGGAATTCCACATTTTGAGGCAGCAGAAAGCAGACGCAAATCATGCCCTGGGCTGGACATATACATGGTTACAGATGTTTATTTTATTTCTTAAAATATCCATATTCTTTTCTGGAACAAAACTGTTTATTTTTTAGTTTATAGAGCAGCAGAAAGAAACTATTCATGTAGTCACAATAGTAGTCTGACTTTATTTGAAATATTAAACAGTCTATAGAATAATATGAATAATAAGCTATATCTTGTTTGTACTTTGTTCTTATCAGGAAAGCCAAAAGAGTTCTAAAAATGGACTGGTAACTGAGAAGGGGAAAATAAATTTTATTGTGGTTTTGGCTTAACGTAAATGAATCCAGCCATTGTGGCTTGTAAATTATTTTTAAGACCTAATGTAAACAGGCAAACTACAGTTAAGCAAATCATGGCTTAGCACATGTGAATTATATACTTGAAGGCCTGATTAATACGTCACAAGTACAGTAATATAAATTAGCAAATGTTCTTACAAATGCAGGTGAGACAAATAGCACCAGCTAGCCACTTTTATGGGAGAGTTTAATTGTCCCCCAGTCAATATACCTCTTATAGAAGGTAAAGCATTAGGAATGTGAATCTTTTCAAAACTCTTTTGTCAGCTAGAAGAATGTGTTTTAACATAGCCTTTGGAGCAAATTTGTCATTTATGAGAAGCTGGAGACTTTCCCCAAACAACAACCAAAAAACCTTGGCCATTTGCAAACTTCAGACCAGATGGGTCTCTCACTATCACACCATCTTAGCATTTCAAGTGAGCAGAATGTAAAAAACGCCTTGTATGGCAGCCATTGTGTTGGTCAGGAGGTCTAATTACCCAGATAAGAAGTGGGGGTGGGTGGGATAGAAGCAAGGATCTCAGAGTTCTTGAAAATTACATCCATATTTCCATTCTTTCCAGGAATAGTTTCAATGAACTGATGGAATTACAGAATCTTGAATTTGCCATCCCCTTTGCTGGTGAGCTTTACATTCTGGCCATATAGGTCCTAAGATCTAATCAAGGATGTTGGGTGTAGAATGCAACCTGTCTTCTCAGAATGTTTCTTACAAATCTAACTGCAGGATTCTTTCGGATCCGGCACCTATAGCTGGAGAAACATTATGTAATATCATGAAAATCATTGAGAACTAATAGGATTGTGATTGTGTCCTATTTCCATAACTCTTCCAGCATGCCTAGGAAGTTGCCTAATGCTACCAAGACCATTCTTTTAACCTGGGACATTACAAAACCAGAATATAATCCCAGTTCCTTGGATGGAATTCCCAAGGAAACTTCTAAAACCTGCCTCTGTGTTGCAATATGAAATGCAACAGATGGAATGCAAGAAGGATAAATATAACTATGTTCAGCTGATTCAATTTTAATTTGATTTAAATTAACGTAGTTTTATTTATTTTTTCCTAATTCCACCTTCTTCTTGAATCTGGTCATGCCTATTTTGGAGGAGTACATACCTCAGCATACCATTCAAATACTGGCCTCAATTACCAGCAACAGTTCTCCAGTCTCTGATAGGGATCTCTTAGGTTCCTCTTTCCCATTATTAACAGAAAATAATAACTGTTAGAGCAAAGTACATATTTGACATACAGAGACCAGGTTCAATCTTCAGCTTAACACTTCAGGTTTGGAAAGATTCCAGTCTGAATCCTTGGAGAGCTACAGATAGTCATTGTTAATGGATATTTTTCCATTATAAAATAAGTCACATATGATGTAATATGGTTTGTTCATGAACCCTGCCAGTGGTGATTTATTCAGTATACCACAGTTAACTAAAACATAGTTTTAGTGTGATATATCAGCGAAGCTAAATGTCTCCTACTTTCTTGCTCATTTCATACATTTGAAAGTTTCTATCTAGTCCTTTCAAGTCTGTGCACTTGACCCTTGTAATCAGTATAAACATGTACCAATTATATTTATACCAATACAATGAAAACTGTAATTCACATTCTCAATCTTTTTTCTGTCTTCTCTCTCTTTGCTCTTTTATGTATGCTAGTGACTGGTTGCTTTAGATTTGACTCGTTTTGTGAACTCTGTCCAGAGACCAACTAATTGCATTTCTAAATCAAGTGAACCGCTGGGGCTAGAAATGCTGTTGATATATTTTCCTTAGTGGGTATTTCTCAAAGGGGAATTTACCCTTCTGCAGAGAGGATTCTCACAGCTGGACAACCAATTAGGAAGCCTACAGGGGCTTTGCTAGCCCTGGAGAACTGAGATAATTTGTTGCTTAGGAATAACAACATTGTCATGCATGTTCCCCAGATGAATATGCAAGGATTATTTCAAAGCGGAGGACTACTCAAAATACAGTCATTTAGAGATGGCTAAGTACTGAATGGTCTGTAAGAAAAGGTCCAGTTTAATTTGTACCACAGACCCATTTTTAATACAGGTGGTCGTGACCAGTCACAATTTGACTCGTGTACGGTACTTCACATTATCTTCTCTTGTTTTCTGTTTAAGACATATTTACACAGTACTGGAAACCTACCAGTTTATCAAATATTTCTTTCCCCACTAAAGAACTTCAGGGATGATTCTGTAGAAGGATGTAGTCATTTATTATCTCCCTTTTATTGAAAATCAATTGGTCAATCTCTTTTCAATAATAGGGAGATCCTAAAATGATTTAAAGGGATTTAAATTTAAAGATTTAGAGGGAAACATACCATCCACTCACATTGAATGACCATTCTCAGGTTTATGTTTTAAAGGCCATCAACACAGCACAGAAACGGCATTGGTCGCGTTGGTTGATGATCTCTGGAGGGCTCGGGACAGGGGTTGTTCCTCTGTTCTGGTCCTGTTAGACCTCTCAGCGGCTTTTGATACCATCGACCATGGTATCATGCTGCACCGGCTGGAAGAGTTGGGGGTGGGAGGCACCGTGTTGCGGTGGTTCTCCTCCTTTCTCTCCGACCGGTCGCAGTTTGTGTTGGCAGGGGGGCAGAGGTCGACCTCGAGGCCTCTCATTTGTGGAGTGCCGCAGGGATCGGTCCTCTCGCCCCTTCTGTTCAACATTTATGTGAAGCCGCTGGGTGAGATCATCCGTGGCTTTGGGGTGAGATACCACCAGTACGCTGATGACACCCAGCTGTACATCTCCACCCCAGGCCACCCCAACGATGCCCTTGAAGTGATGTCCCAGTGCCTGGAGGCTGTACGGGTCTGGATGGGGAGGAACAGGCTCAAGCTCAACCCTTCCAAGACTGAGTGGCTGTGGCTCCCGGCATCCCGATATAGTCAGTTGACTCCATCACTGACTATTGGGGGCGAGTCATTGGCCCCCACAGAGAGGGCTCGCAATCTGGGAGTCCTCCTGGATATGTAGCTGTCCTTGGAGGAACATCTGACGGCTGTAACCAGGGGGACCTTTTGTCAGGTTCGCCTGATTCGCCAGTTGCGGCCCTTTCTTGATCGGGATTCCCTGTGCACAGTCACTCACGCCCTCGTCACCTCTCGCCTTGACTATTGCAACGCTCTCTACATGGGGCTCCCCTTGAGGAGCACCCGGAGGCTCCAGCTGGTCCAGAACGCAGCAGCGCGGGTAGTGACGGGAGCAGCATGGCGCTCCCATGTAACACCGCTCCTGCGCGAGCTGCACTGGCTCCCAGTTGTCTTCCGGGTGCGCTTCAAGGTGTTGGTTATCACCTTTAAAGCGCTCCATGGCATAGGGCCTAGCTATCTTCGAGACCGCCTGCTGCTACCAACGACCTCCCATCGACCCGTGCGCTCCCACAGA